AACCATCCGTTGGAAGAGCAAGGTCAGCCATAGGTCCAGCTTTAAAAAGAAGAGCACATGGGCCACCTGTTTGCTGCCCCCTATATCATGCTAACTTTTGTGTGCTAGGATAGAGTCTTCTACTCGTTCGTATAGTCCATAGCACTTAGAATATAGTGTTTAACATATAGTCGATGAGCACAAGTATTTACTAACTGGTAGCTACATCAATATCTTCAATAAAGCACCGCAACACAAAAATGGCTCTAGCAGCCCGCAACAGCAGTACGAGGGGAGTCGTAAGTGAATAGCTCTGCTCTGGACCAGCTAAGCAGCTTTCAGTTGGTGAATGATTCCAAACTAACATGCAAAATAAAGAGTGAAGCTTAAGGGAACTTGTTTGATCTAGAAGACTGAATATCAATGTAAAAAATAAGTCTTGCTTCTGCATGATGATAATACTTTTCACACGCACTACTTGATACAGAGAAACTATATATCACGCAGGACACATACCCCATATGTGGTTACTTCTAAGGTCATGCGTCTCCTCTGAAGCTCCCCCCATCACTGCAGGCTCAGTGTACCCTCTCTACCTGCTGCCGCCACCCCCACTCTGTCAATTAATGAATCAGAAATGGAGAAAAGTCCTTTCCAGCATGCACAGTTGTAAATTACTGGAGACAAAATTACTAATTACCATTCTCTTACAAGCCAAGTTCTCCTCCCTTCCCCCGCTTCCCTCCCAGACCACCTCCTGCCTCAGGATGGAAGTTCTGTTTCTGTTTCATCTCTTTACCATACCTCGGGATGGAGATGTGTCCAGGAACCCAGGCCAAAACCAGCAAATTTATCACCATGCTAATGACAGCAAGCTGCATGCTGAGTGAATTCTGCAGTCCCCCTCAACTTTCCCGTGCCAAAACCTGTGGAGCTGCAAGATCCAGCAGATTACAGAGACTTATCTACATGTGAAGAATGGTTCTGTTGGAAAATGCAATTAGGTATCATCCATAAGTCTATTTTGAGAGGCTTGTTTGAGAAAATCTCAAAAACAAAAATTTCCATGTGATAAGAGATGTTAGCCAATTCGCCGAAACTGAGCATCACTAAACACATATTAAACGTACATTTATCTATATGGAGTGTTATAAAGACCTATGTTTTGTATGCTAGGAATAGCTCATTGTTCTGAGAGTAGATATTTATGTTTGTGGAGTTTATAGAACTTCCAGTCCTGGTGGCAAAATCCCCCTCTCTATTTACATGAGCTGCTCTTCCCAGGCCAGGGGCTGCAGAGAATCCTTAACCCTGTCGTTCCAAAATAGCTTCCTCAGGGTTTTGAAGACGGAGCCTGGTCATTCCAATAGGAGCCAGGAAGTCATGACACACTAGGCTGAGCACCTACTGGGGGCAAGGCATGAGATGGGAGGTACACAGTTGGGGAGGCCTGTGGTCAGAAAAGCAAGTTGTTAAGGAGGCTCGATGTCACAAAGATAGTTTTCCCAGAGGAATGCAATCCATTGTGTGCTCTACAGGAGCAGGTCACTGTCCAATCTCATTAGGAAGGAGGAATACAGGCACATACAAGGATCGAGGTGCAAGGCACCTGTGCCAGATATCCAAGAAACAGGCCAGGCATCAAGGCAGCATTGGCTCTCCATACTGTGAACATGAGAAAGCCCTTAATGGCTGACTCTAAATCAAGAGACATGTCTAAATGGTGTGTTGCATTTGTCATAGCACCATATCCTTTTGTTTGAAGAATGTATGTACTAGTCTTCTTTAAAATTCAAGTCAGCAATATTTCATGCAGACCGGAGTCTTAGCCCAGCAGCACCCCTACACCCCAACTTTTTCACTATGCTGATTGACAGAGACAATAAGGGTCACGTTGCTCAGAGAAGGAAGGAGATCCCATCTGTGACTGTGGCTGGCCTGGGTTCTGGGTCCAGAACCTATTGGCTCCAGGCTCTTCCAATACTCATCCTTAGGCCAGGTTTCCACCTCCCCAACTGCCCCTCAACACACTCCCTGAGTCCCCACCTTCTCTCACTTGCAATTAGGGTGTGATCATTGCTTATGCCCAATCTTCAGCTTCCTCTCTGTGCATGGTCTTCTCCAGCAGGGATACATGGAAGGCAATGCACAGACTTGTATGATGACAGACCCAGAAACAGCAGCCTCCAATGGGAAGTTGAAGGAACTGATAATGTTTAACCCAGAAAGGACAAGTCTAAGTGGAAAAATTGTAGCATCCTCAGAGATGTGAAGGGCTCTCACTGCCAACGAAAGGGAATCCTTTTTCTATGCTTTTCCAGAGAACAGACCAGGTCCAAATCTAAAAGTTACAAGGAAGCAGGTGTTGACACCAAATCAATAATGTCTTATATACAGTTTAATCAGTGAAACGGCCTAGATGCATACAAGTTGGAGGTGAAATGACCAGTTCATTCTGTACTAAGGATTGCTAAATTGAGTGGGAAGTTAAACTGAATGACCTCTATCATGCCTCCTAATCATAACATTCTAGGAGTGCCCTAAAACATTTGGTAAGTGACAAGGTCTCCTATGACTGCTTTATTGTCTACTCATCTTTTGAGAACTCAGTTCAGCTGTAGCCTTTAAGGTGTAGTATGTACTTTATGTTAAGAAAGAAATATATTAGACAAGAGAGCAATGAAGTTCCCAGGCTTTCCTGGAATCCCCCAGTGGCCTGATCACATCTCCCAAATGGAACACGCAATATAGACAAAACTGACATTTTAACAAGTGTGCTGGGCCCTTGGACATAAACAAACCCCAGGGCTGCTGTTTTACCCATCCCTCAAGCACGAAATCATGGAGTTTTAGGGGTGGAGGAAACCTGGAGGTCATTTTGCCTCAACTCCTACCCAGGGCAGAAATTCTCATTCTAACAACCCAACACATGGTTACCCAATTTCTACTTGAGCACTTTCAAGAAAGGATCACTGCTTTGCCAGGAGATTTAGTCCATTTTGAGACGACTTAATCTACGTTGAGACAGTCCTCAACATGGGCTGTTTCTTCCTCATATTGAGCCCCAAGTCTGCCTTTATTTGACTTGACTTTTGCCCTCAGCAAAAACAAATCTGTTTTCTCATTCAACAATTTTACATTATCTCCATTATCTCCAAATCTCCTCTCCCTCTAAGTATTTTCTTTCCCATCTAAACATCTCAGGCCACCTCAGATTTCTCAAATGGCATGGTTTTAGACACCTCACCATCTTCTAAAAATTTTCTATTTTACTAATGCTCCTTATAAAGAGTAGATCCCAGAACAAATACCAACTATGGTCTGCAAATACAATGGAGCTATCACCTCCCTTGATCTACTCACTATGACTTTATTAATGCAACCTATAAGTTTTTGTGTTTCAAACCAAATGATCAATAGCTGTGTTCACATTAAGGTTATCATTAATCAAAATCATTTTTATTTGACACAATTTCGTATAGCTTAAAAGAATGAAGTGGATTTAAAAGTGGCCCTATAAATTATTAATACATTAAATCCTGGCTCCCTATATAAGAGACAAGAGCCCTAGAAAAGATTATCAGTGACAGACTAATAAAATTGAACCCCAAGATGTTTGAATCCAAAGGTGAAATATATACTGGCAGTGATGTGCCAGGGCCCTTGCCTTTGCAGCCTCCTCTTCCAATAAAATCCAGGGCATGGATATTTTGGAACTATATCTGCTTTTGTCTCCCTTACTCCGCTTATATTTTTTTTTAGTTTGCCACATGCTTCTGAGACCAAGTCTTCCTCAAGCCCATTGAGAACTCACTAGTGGTTTTCCTCTGTGTCTTCGACAGGTCGCTTGAAGGAAGAAATCACCCAGCGGCATCTGCAGCAAGTAGCTCTAGGTGGGTACAAAGTGGAGCCTGCAAGAGGAAGGTAAAGGTAATACAAGCTGATCTGTCTTGGAAGCCCACACCCAGATAAAAGATAACTCAATCAAAACCCTTGGGGAGGTGAAGGAAGACAAGGTTTGCTGTCAGGGCAGCTTCCTCCAGGTGGTCTCCTCTCTGGGACCAGCTTCCTTGACCTGTGTGCTTGGTTCCACTGTCAGCACTTGGCACCCCATCCTCCCAGCTGCAGCCCCATCCTTGTGACACCCCAACCGAAATTTACCCCTATGTCCCAGCCCCCAGGATCCTTTTTAGAGTCACTGCTAACTAATCCTAACAGTAACGGTTGGTGACAAAAACGGCTGTCATTTGCTGAACCATCTCTCTGCACTACTTTATGTGACTGTCTCCTTTCATCCTCACAACAGTCCTAAGAGGTAAGTGCATTTTCTGTATGAAAGGTGATTCAATGACTTGCCCAAGGTCACATGGCTAGAAAGTGTTGAAATTGGGATTTGAACCCAGTTCTCTGACTCCAAACATGGTGTTCTTAGCCTCCATGCTATTTACTACCTGCAACACTGATGGACACACTTCAATGCACTAATAATGCAAACACTAGACCAACACAGTGGTATTCTAAGAGGCCCTTGGCACCTTTTAGGCAGTGGACGTCTGCAGAAAATACTCCCTTTTGATACATGACCCAAAGAGGTTACCTGGGAAGAGTATGCAGTTCCCAGGAAGTCTAATGGAGCATGCGTACAGGGTAGGACCAGCTTGTTTCTTGTCCAGCTAGCCTGGGACCACGCACATATAGAGCTTAGATTAAATAAGCAATTTGTGTAATGCAAACAAGGGATTGCCCTAGAGATGGCCTGGCCCTTGAGTAACCTCTAATTGGAGAAATCCAGCACCCAAGACCTCCGAGGGGAAGTGGAGGAGAGCCCCAAAGTCATGAGGCTGACTCGTTTGACCCTAGTAAATGGATAATTAGGAAGGTTAGTTATTTAGTTTCATTAATAATAATGATCATATCAAATAACTACTGGTTACATCAGAAGCATAGAACAAAGACACCTAAGACACACTGACCGGAGCTTGAGCTTCCCACTGTTGGCGCCAGGACTGAGGGGTCAGGTAAATGTGCCAGGCCTGCCCTCCTAATGCCAGACACTTAGGCTCGTAGCTGAGATTCTGCCCAGTGCCTTCTTCAACAAGAAGCCAGGGATTCCACAGGGCCCTAACTAATAGGATTTGGATTGGGAAGGGCATAATGACCTCTCCCGGAAAGCTATGCCAAGGTGATCTTTGGGCCTCCTGGGTGGATCACTGAATGGGGAGTCATTCCCTAAGGGCTGCCATGTAGCATTTTCTCCAGTCTTAATGATTCTGGTTGATTAGAAACAATGATGTGGAAAATGCCACTAAACAACTCCAGGGGCATTTTTCATTTAGGACCTGGGAAACATTTTCATGATTGTCAGGACAAGAGATGCTTCATCCTCTCTGCCCCCCAGGCCCTGGCCCTCCTGGGCCCTTGGAAAACTACTGCACAGCTTCAACCACAGACCTCTGCTCACTCTCGGGGAGCCTTCTTCTGAATTACAGCAGGTGTCAGTTTCAGCAGGGCCCAGCTTTGCCTGAAGTAATCAGCCAACTTCAAACAGAAAGCACTTTGGCTGGAAGTCTAATTAAGAGCATTTGAAATACCTATTTATTTTAAAAGCATACTGTTCCAATTAGAGAAGAATTGTTAACATCTCCCAGCTGCCATTTTGAGATTCAATGCCATGTTGCTGTCCAAACTCCTTAGGAGCTTGTCTGAGGAAGCTTCGGAACCACCAGTACTCACATGTCCCAGGTGACCACAGTGCAGAAGAGAATTCTTCTCATCGAGAGAAACCTCTCAGCGCAACAGATTGTTTATAGGGCCGTTTCCTGCCTTGACCCTCACCCTTCAGACTAGCGCTGGGGCTGAAGCCTAAAAGCAACTAGTTCGTTTGGCTTCCTGATGTGCTGGAACAGGCTTCTGGTGGAAGAATGAAGCAGTGACTACATCCGCTCTTGCCCTCCCATTTCTTTGCCTTTTGCGTGTCTTGTATTCCCTCCCCACTTCCTGTTCTATTCCTTCATCTCCTTCTTCTCTTCACTTTTCCTCACTCTCCATTTTAAGTATTCCCTTTGGTATTGTTTCTTTTGCCTCCATGTTCCTAAGTTTCCATGAAAGTGTAGGCGAGATGAGGTTGGTTGTTTGGAAGGAGGAGGAGGTTATGAGCGAGTCTGAACAGAAGAAGTTTTCTCATGTATTTTGTATAAAAATATGACTCTGTATGTATGAGTAGACAAATGCCCAAGAAAATTTGTACAAAAACAGCCTCATATCTCAAAGGAGCAAAGATTTAGTGGTGAAGTGAGACGTGCTGTGTGGAAAAGACTGTAGACTGACGATCCAGCAATGTACTAGAGCCGGCTTGGTCATGTCAGAAGAGCGATAGTTACTGCTTCAGGAATTTAGGGAGCCGTGGTTAAACACAGCTGTTGCTTAAAATTAAATTATATAAACTTACAATTAAATAAATTATATTTAAAAAACAAAGATAACAAATACTCCAAATTCATCACTTCCTAATTAATTTGCTACGTTTTACTATTATCTCTGCCCTTGAAGTCACTGACATCTACTGTGTCTATATCACAGAAATACTGTCTGATGGTGGCCTACTGTGCCTGTCTTCCTAATCTCACATTCAGTGGCATCATTCAGTGGCAGCTTTAAATGAGCCACTGTGGGAGTATTTGCACCAAGAAATTGACAAATGTTATAAATTGGGGCTTATTTCCTCACAGAGCCTGTTGTTAAACATTTACCACCACATCACTGGCACACAGACAAGTATCTCTTGAGAGGCCAGTTTTGTGCATATGTGTGTGTGTGCTCTTCTGATAACTTCTACTCCCCTGCCTAGCTGAAAATCCAGGTAATGACTCTCTCTTTGCCTAATGACTACCCGCAGAACCCTGGTCCTTTTGAAAGTCAGTGGACAGAATAACCAACAAAAACAGAAATAGGGCAGGAAAAGCATTGGGCCCAGTAATGCCCCCTAAATGTGACAGTCAAATTTGGGGGATTTCTTAAGAGACACATCAATGACCAGTTCTAGGAATATCAACAAACAAAAGTTACTGGTGGACTTAGAGCAGGGCCTACTCCCACACACTGTTTCAGAAAACAATAAAACTGTTATTTTTAAATTAGGCATCATTTGGAAATGATACCAATTGAATTAAATTTAGCTAGCTGAGTTGAGTGTGCTTTGCTGAATTCAGTGTGAGTTTTTCCCACTTCATTGTACTAGCTACACTAAATGCTATAGTATTCTCGATAATGCAGATGAGACTAATCAGCAAACATTTCTTGAGTACTTTACCACGTGCCAGGCATGATTCTAAGCTCTTTATGTATATTTACTTCTTTAATGATCCTAAAATCCCCATGAGCTAGATACTACTATTATCCTCACTTTACAGTTAAAGCCCAAAGGTATTACATGAACCTGCCTAACTTTGCTCAGTTAAGGATGTAAAACCCAGACAGCTTGGATCCAGATCTCATGCTCCAACCACCACACTGAATTGCCCTCAGTCCTGTGCCAGCCATTGTGGGGTCCACAGAGGGACAGAGATTCAATGCCTGCCCTCTAAGCATTTCCGCTCTAGCCAACGTGAAGGGACGCATGCATAAAAAGATACTAGCTCATTTCAGATTTAGAAACATATATTGGTCCATTCAGGATCCTCTTCCTACTGCAGCCCCAAAACCAATTCAAACTTAACCTCTTCCGTGAAGCCTTCCCTGGCCCCTTCTCCCCAAATCTGTTTTGTCGTCCAGCCATATGTGTGTCTGTTAGAGCAACAGCCTTGTTTCCTAATTATTTATTTCCATAACTATTCTCATCCCTAAAGTGCGAACTCCCGAAAAGCTGGGTGCAGTCGAATTAATCTTTATACCCCTAGCAGCCAGCACGGGCAATAAATAGGCCAAATCAATGCTTCCCTAGATGACTTCCAGACTCACACATCTTGCAAAAGTATAATGAGACATTTGAACATAAAATAAAATAAGTCCATTTAAAAGAAATAGAAGGAGTAAGTGCTTTTGGACCCCACAGCTGAGCAGATTAAAACACACAGGCGATAAATTTAACTCTCTCTTATCTAACCACTAAGCAGAAAGAAAAGCACCCAGTGTTAGAGTTTTCATTTTCTGACAACAGGAAGCATACTAACTAATTTATCTGCAAAAATAGAATTTCTTTCTGGAACCAAACATAAACCAGGATTTATCATGCACACCCTTGTATAAAGGACACTGGGTGACGTAGTGAACGATGTCTTCAACTGCAGTTTTACAAAATACACTGAAATGTTGTTCAACTAGATGATTTTTATATCGACCCTCTATAAAAGCAAGAGGCCTGACATTAAAGTATAACTCATTGAAAGTGTTTATGTGAGCAGCTGAGATAATGTGCTTCAGGTACTCTGCTTTCTGATGGTCACACAGAGTAGGAATAGAATCAGGAGGAGCCGGCCCCAGGGACGTGGGCTACGTTCCTCGAGTGTCTCTTCTGAGCAATATTTGATCAGGGACTGGCTCTCGTTCAGCTCACGATCAAAATCCTACCAAGTGCTTGTGATTAAACTTTAAAAGACACATGGTACCACCAAGCGGCATGTGAAATGTGTCAGGGGAGAGAGACGGGCCTTCAGAGCTTTGGGAACTTCCCAGAAGGAGTGGCCCCTGAAGGTTGTCACCAGACCAGGGCCTGGGATGAGCCTTAAAGAATGGGCAGGATCCAGAACCTAAATGAAGAGTGTATGTGTGTGAAGGGGAGGGGTGTTGCTGTGGGTGTGGGATTTGTGCGTGTGTGTGTGTGTATGTGTGTGTATGTGGTATGTTGTTCTGGGTGTGGGATTTGTGTATGTGTGGTGTGTATGTATGTGGTGTGTGT